TCTCTCTCTCTCTCTCTCTCTCTCTATTGAACAATATAGCGAGCATCGATATCCATCCCAGCGTTGTTGTCACGTCTCGACAGTACCGCCACGCATTGCCCCGTTCGAAATGGCCGACAGGGCTGTGAACTGGGGCGATTCCGTATCGGCTGTCTGCACCGTAGTCAACGGGGACTCCCCGCTCGAGATCAGCTGGGCGTTGAACAATATGCCTGTCGACGAGAGTCATCGGATATCCGTCACTACCACGAAAAGGAACAGCCTGCTGTCCATTGATTCGGCCAGTCCGAGTCACGCGGGGACGTATACCTGCGTTGCCTCGAACGCGGCCGGCGCCACCAGCTATTCGGCGGAATTAACTGTGAATGGTACCTACACCTACACATAGGTAGACACAGACCCGAAACACAGAGACACAGAGACCAGACACACCTTCATCTTCATCCCGTCTTCGTCTTTTCGATCCTCTCTCCTCGTTCATTGTAATCCCGTAATACGTATAATACGTATCGCGCCAACGAGAACGTTCGTCTCCTCGTACGTCTGCATCGGACCGCAAATATCAATGGCAGAGAATACAATGTCGGTTACAGTCGCACCGCAGATCGCTCCGTTCGTGATCACCGAGGAGCCGGCGAACTGGGGCGAATCGATTTCTGTGGTGTGCGCCATCCTCAAGGGCGACTTGCCGATCGAGATCACGTGGGCCCTGAACGGCGAGCCGATCAGCCGCGATCGTTCGGATGTTAACGTTCTGGCGACCACGCGAAAGAACAGCATCCTGAGCATCGAGTCCGTGGCCGCGAGACACGCGGGCGAATACACGTGTTCTGCGTCCAACAAAGCCGGAGCGACCAGCCATTCGGCCACCCTGGCTGTCAACGGTACTTTCCCTCTTCGGCAGAGACGTTCTCCGATGTATTTATTCCTCCTTCTCTGTCTCCTCTCATACACTGCCAAGTCCAAGTCGGTGTCGGCGGTCGAGGCTTTTGCAATCTCTTTTCAACAGAAAAACGCGATCGATCCCTCTGACTCGCGAGACTTACTCGAAGGTCGAATCGAACGCAGGTGGTTACGAATCATTGGTAATCGAGCGAGCACAATTGGACAATCAAGGATTCTTTGTTCGTCCCCTTTGTTCGTAGTTGCTCCCGAGATAGCTCCGTTCGTGATCAGTGAGAAACCGGCAAACTGGGGGGACACGGTCACCGCAACCTGCACCATGCTGAAAGGTGACTCGCCGATTCAGATCGAATGGGCCCTCAACGGCGAGCCGATCTCCCACGATTATTCCGATATATCGATCGCCACCAGCAGGCGCGTCAGCTTGCTGACGATCGACGCGGTGACGGCGAGTCACGCCGGCGAGTACACCTGCATGGCGAGCAACGCCGCCGGTGGGACGAGTTTCACCGCGACTTTGGCCGTGAACGGTACAATGCGCGTTCCTTGTTCCCAGAACTCTCAGTCTGCTTCAGTTCTCTCGATGCATGCGCGATACACTTGGCCGGGTAGCTTCCCTTTTTCACACGATTCCTGTTTCGATCATCGTCATCCTTCCCAATTTCCTTTCTTCTTTTGTTATTTTTCAAGAAGAATAGGATTCTTACATCCTACTTCGTGTAACTTGGAAAACGTTGGAATTTCAAATGATCTTTTCAGTTAAACAATATTTTTTTTTTCTTCCCTGTAGTAATAGCGTTGTTTCTCAGAGAAATGTACGAGGAAGCTCGTTTCGTTCGAAAGGAAGATGTTTCGCTCCAAACTCTTGAACGACAGCCTGCACAACGCTACTCTAAACATATAAATATAAATGGAGATATAAATGGAATATAAATGGAAAGCAGTAAAAACTGACTGGGGAGAAAAATACTTTTGCAAAATTCTCTCCAGCTCACGTTTCGTCCCCAACTCTACTCGTTCGTTTTCAATTCTACATCACTTACTTAAGTCTTTCGTCTCTATCTCTCTATCTATTATTCAAAGAAGGGTTGTCAGGTATCGATCAGGCACCATATCTCACTCGATACACTCGCCATTCTCAGGAAAGGTCGTTCCACTTGTGACTCACTTTACACAATAATAAACCAAAGGCTAAAAGACATCTCTGTGACGTGTTACGCTGACCGCAGTTGCACCGGAAATCGTGCCATTCGTGATCGGAGAGGGACCAGCGAATTGGGGGGACACCGTGACCGCGACGTGCACGGTGCTGAAAGGGGATCATCCGATCCAGATCGAGTGGGCCTTGAACGGCGAGCCGATTTCGCGTAACCATTACGACATATCGATAGTGAACACCAGCAAGCGTGTCAGCGTGTTGACGATCGACGCTGTGACAGCGAGACACGCGGGCGAGTACACGTGTTCCGTGAGCAACGCAGCCGGTGGGACGAGTTACTCCGCATCTCTCGCCGTGAACGGTACAAAACGATGTCCCCGTGTAATTTTCTCTTTCCTTCATCCCCCACTTCTCTCGCTGTTCTCTTTTATCTTCTCGTTTCATGCATGCACGCGACGTTCCCATCATTATGTCCTATTACACGATCCCCTTCGATTCCTCTGCGAAGTAAAGTCCGAAGAGAAGAGGAGATCCGTCGCGTCGTGCGTGTCACGCGTGCATAGCACACGTTTCGTTTATCGAATGAACTCTTCATCGGTGTTCCAACGGAAGGATTATCCACTTGTTTTCCACCTCTCTTTTTTCTTTTTATCGACGATTCGTTCACTGTGGCGAGAAGTGTTCTCGCGGCGCCAGGAGCTGACAGAATTGACAGCAATTAATCAACACGGTGCCATGTGTACCATGAATTGCTAAACAATTGTTTCCCATTTTATGTCTGTCGTTGTAGTTGCGCCGCATATAGGCCCGTTCTCGATCAGTGACGGTCCAGCTAACTCGGGCGACATGGTCTCGGCCACCTGTTCAATAATGAAAGGCGACTTTCCGGTAGAGATCGTTTGGAGGTTTAACGATAGGGCGATAGGTTTCAACGATCCGGACGTAACAATCACGAGGATCAATAAGCATATGAGCGCGCTGAGCATCGAGTCCGTGGCAGCGAGACACGCGGGCGAGTATACGTGCGTCGCGACGAACCGAGCTGGAAACGTCAGCCACTCGACGACTCTGGCCGTGAACGGTATCTATCTGAGAAGAGAACAAGCACGCTTGCACGTTGTCAAGTCGAGCTCTGCACCATACAAAATGCATCGCACGTGACAAAATGCCGGAACGATTCTATGCACTTTTCTCTCGTGCCTGTCGCGGCGATCCTGCGCTCTTTATCCTTCGAGTGCTTCTTCAAATCCCCTCTTCGAATCCCCTCTCCCCGTTCGCTCGCGATACCGATTCGAGATTCGACGGTTCGACGAAAGACGCGCGTCTCTCTCTCTCTCTCTCCCGAAAAATCACAAATTTAATTCGGTTAACGACAAGTTCGCGGCGCCCGTTTCTCCTCCAGTTGCACCGCAGATCTTTCCATTCACGTTCGGCGACGAGCCGGTGAACTCGGGCGAGGCGATCTCGGCGACTTGCTCGATCCTCAAGGGTGACTTCCCGATGGACATATCCTGGGCGTTCAACGGCGTGTCGATCGACGCCGAGAGAAGCGATCAGTACACGATCACGAGGAGCAAGCGGCTGAGCGTGTTGGCGATCGATGCGGTGGCCGCAAGACACGCGGGAGAGTACACTTGCACCGCGTCGAACAAGGCTGGAGCCTCGAGCCACACGGCCGTGTTAGCCGTGAACGGTAAAAAATACGCACGCATATGTGTAGACAGGCGCACGTCTGTTTCAGACTTTCTTTCGTTTAGACGACGGGAAAGCTGGGACCCTCTCCCTCTTTTTTTCTCCCCTTTTCTCTCTCTCTTTTTTTTTCTCATCCACCTCATGCTCATCCACCTGTGTATTCACCGGTTCATTCAGACCCGTCCTGTATACCGTGTCGTGTGTACATACACGTTGGGGGACGTTGGGACACTGGCTGGCGACTAAAAACTCGCGATCCCGGTCGACGCATTCGAGGCCGACGACGTTATTTAACTCGTTGTCTAGTCGCTGTCGCGAAGTCTGTTTGTGTCATCGAGTGATTGTGACACCAACTAATTGCAAAACTAAAAAAAAAGCAGAAGTTTATTAACGCTAGAGCTACTGATTGTAAGTGTAAAATTTCTAGCAAAAAGGACAGGAAAAGATTTATAATACGATAAAGAAGCTTCCATTTTGGCCATTTCTAGATAGTTCTAGTGTTAATGAATAAGATTCTTGAAGTATTGTACAACGATCGGTTTTAATACCGTGTGAAAGTAATTAAATGCGAATTATTGGCAAATTGTGTAAAAGAAAATAGTTTAGATAGAAATAAATAATTAGTTCTTTTGTGGATGGATTAGTAAGAGTTATCTGAAGATGTTACATGTTTTTGTAAATCAAACCATCGATGGATTGTCTTTTACGAGATTGCATTAGAAAAATTGCATTAGTTTGGTAAATATTTTAAATTTAATTTCTATTTTAACCTATTGTATGAAAATATGGACACAAGAATACCATCTTCATACTAACGACACGTTTAACAAAATTATAGTTAGAATATTTCCTACGATTATTCGTTTTTAAATGATAACAATTGGCGAGTTAAAAATCGCAGAGTTCCATTTTAAAAAGAAAAACGTGCGCTCTTCAGTTATTCGCGTTTATTACAATTAGATTCTAATCAGATACTCTGTATAAACGAACAAGCATAGCCATTGATATATGAAAAACAGTTGTACAATAAAGAGATAATTTCGTGCAGTCGATGATGCACAGGAAACATTGTTTTCAACGCGAATTTAATTAACTTTAAATATGACCGAGCACGATCTTTCCAAGATTCTTTCGAGATCTCTCGAGACTGTGTCGAACGGTCTCGAATGTGTCGAACAGCTGTGAGATTGGACGATCGATCGATTCGATCGACGAGAAAACGCTGTCTATGCCTGTGGCGTCGTTGATTAGGCGAACGAGGACGATCCAAGTGACGATTGTCGCATCGCTCATCGATCTTGGGTAAACGTTTCAGTCGCGCCGCAGATCGCGCCGTTTTCCATCGGCGACGAGCCCGCGAATTGGGGAGAGGCAGTCTCGGCGGTTTGCACCATCGTTAAGGGCGATCTGCCGATCGAGGTAGCGTGGGCGTTGAACGGCGAGCCTGTCACTAGCAAGAATCACGGTGATATCACGATATCGAGTACCGGCAAGCGAGTCAGTCTGATGACCATCGAGGCCGTGAGCGCCAGACACGCAGGGGAATACACTTGCACAGCGTCGAACGCAGCCGGAGCGACGAGCTATTCGGCCACCTTGGCCGTCAACGGTACAGCAAAATGCACGAAACGGAGAGAGCCGCTCCGCGAGAGTCATTGTGTCATGCAATAGATAACTGCGAACGAAACTGCTATCGTTCCCTTTCACTAGCACGCGTCCGTGAAAAACTTCGAGACTATCTCCTTTTCCTCCTGACTTGACTTGTGAGAGCCATTTCCTCTACGCCTAGCCCCTATTCTACGCCTTCTCGTCTTTTCTTCTCCTGGTTTTCCAACAACGTTCGCGTAACAACACGGACCTACAGGACTGACCTATGAGACTGAGCGTCCGCGAGCCGAGGATTGTGAGATCTGAGACAGTTGTCGGATATTGTTTCTAGTCGCTCCACAGATCGCGCCATTTTCTATCGGCGAGGAACCAGCGAATTGGGGCGAACAGGTGTCTGCGATGTGCAGCATCCTGAAAGGAGACTCGCCGATCGAGATACGGTGGAGTTTGAACGGGGAACCGATCACACGTGCTAGTCACCCGGACGTAAGCGTGACGAAAACCGGGAGAAAGAACTCGGTGCTAATCATCGACTCAGTCACCGCGCACCACGCTGGCGAATATACTTGCGTTGCGAGCAACTTGGTGGGATCCGTCAGCCGTTCGGCAGTGTTATCGGTGAACGGTACTACGCAGTTACACCATCTTAAGGCATCTCGCACGATCTCCCATGGAAACTTTCCCCAAAGTCGATCCCATCTCTCAACAACTCACCTGCTGTTACGCGCATCGTCTTCGATCTCTCCCTTTTTCTTTCTTCTTTTTTTCTTTTTCCACGTATACACGCGTATACTTCTCGCATTCAGCCAATAGAGAGATCGTTCTCGACCCGTTCCATCGAACAATCTCTATCTGCAGTTTGCTCGTCTGATAGTCTCTCCGCAGATCGCGCCGATCTCCTTTGGCGAGGAACCGGTGAACGCCGGTGATCTGGTCTCGGTACAGTGCGTGGTGACTAAAGGCGACTCTCCTCTGGAGATCACTTGGACCTTCGAAAGCCAGCCGATCAGATCCGATCGAATGGACGTGATCGTGTCTAGCTCCGGGAAACGCGTCAAGCAACTGACCATTGAGTCCGTAGCTGCGAGACACGCCGGGGAGTACACCTGCGTTGCCTCGAACGCCGCTGGATCGACCTCGCATTCGGCCAAATTGGACGTCAACGGTACATGCTTGTCGACGAACATCCACCTCCGAACATTCCTCGCCTTTGTTTCCCTCGCACTGGCTAATCTATTCCCCATCGAGCGTCACCCCCCGATCCCTGACACACCTTCTATCGATATCATCACTGTCACTCGGCGTTTCTCTCTACTTTTTGTTCCGTTTCTTTTTCTCGTTTATTGAGTTCGTCGTACTCTTCCTTTTTTCTTTTCCCCCCTTTCCTCGTTGATTTTCTGTTTCCGTCGACTAGCCGCTCGCGCACGGTGGTGAAAATTTTAATTCCAGCTATTGTATAGACAGTTATTAAAGTATTAATATTCTCCTGCCAAACGCTCTGAAACTATAGCGATCGATCTCTGTAGTTTTGTCGGAAATTTAATTTAGCGATTTAGAATACTAAAAATAGTAAAGTATATTAAAAATAAAAATATTGAGAAAATAAATAAACTGTTGGATGATCAACAAGGCTTGACGATATTGGCTCATCGCCAGAAGATGATCTTTGATCATTTAGCCACTGTGCGCGCTGCGTAGAGTCAGGACTAGAAGAAAGCGAGACACGCGATGTGATGTGAACGCGAGAATCGAGGAGGAGAAAGAGAGAAAGAGAGAAGATCCTTCATTGATCAGGCAGCATTTACGTCGCACGATTGCGTGACCGTGGCGGTGTGTTGTAGTTTGGCTGAACTCTTGGTAGAGCTCTGTTCCCTTCAGTTTTCCTTTTTTTTTTTCTTCTTTTTTTTCTCTTTCCAGTCATTCCGAAATTATTGCCGTTCACGTTCGGCGAGAAACCGCTTAACTCGGGTCAAGTAGTAACGGTACCGTGCGCCGTGGTCGAGGGCGATCAACCCTTGAAGCTCCGCTGGACCTTAAACGGTCATGCGATCTCGCCGCACTCTGGAATCTCAATCGTGGATCTTGGCGGACGGGGCGCCATACTCAGCATAGGATCCGTCCAGGCGACACACGCTGGGACGTACACGTGTATCGCGGAAAACCTTGCCGGAAGGCACGAGCTCTCGGCCGATCTGATTGTCAACGGTGCTTAACAATCCAAAGATCTATACCAAATAAATGATAGATCTAACTTCTCGAAAGTCGCACTACAACCTATATATATATATATATTTTTGCCTTTTGAACAACCAGTCCAAAAGCTTCCTTCCATTCGGTTCTCCGTGTAGTAGCAGTAATATCTCTCCCCTCTCCCCCATGTGCTTGCGTAACGTTCAAAGATATATGGCCACCTCCCTCTTTTTCTTTTCTACTCTCCTTGGTTCGATTCTTTTCTCTTTCTTTCCTACCTTTTTTTTTTGTCTTCTGGACACGCGAGGACTATGAGCGCGAGATATCTACGATCGTTGCACCGGTTTTGATTGATAAACTCGAGGGATAGAAATATAAACTTCGTGTGGCCGAATTCTCGCC